GCTCTTTGTAGCACACATTCGCAGCCACCAACCCTTCCCAGGAATTCTCCAGGAAGGCAATGATATGGCTGATGCGGCAGCTGCAGCTGCAACCGCAGACAGCACCATCTCTTGCATGATTCTTTCACAACAAACACCCTGGGACAGTCATAGTTATTTTCATCAAAATAAAAAAGCCTTGGCCAGACAGTTTAAATTCAAATTTAAAAATATCACAGGGTTGCCAGGACTCCAGATTGCATTGAATGTTTGCTTGTTTACTCTTAACTTCCTCAATGAGTCCGGATCCCCCCCATGCACAGCAGCATCACGTCATTTCGCTTCCTCGCCTCATCCTGAACCCAGACCAACGGTATCAGCTTCCAGATCCTCAGTGGAAAGGTCCTGCTGAACTTATAACCTGGGGATGAGGGTACGCTGACAACAACAACACCATCTGGGTCCCTGGACGACACGTAAGGCCTTTTCTACCCAAACCAGCCTTGCCTACATCAGCATCATGAAACTGCCCACTGTATTCATCATTTGCTTCCTGGGTTTCCACATCGTTCCTGCTGATACGACAGCCACCCCATCCTCCTGCGATGCCTGCATCAAAACTACTCGCAGCGGAACGAAGACCCAGTCCACCCTGATCTATCATACTTTGAAACCTGAATGCAACTCCATGACGGTCTCCCCTTGTCTGCATAACAACACTCAATATGCACGATGCTACACCAAACAAAGTATCCAATGCTACGAACCAAAGGCTGTGGGGCCCATCACCGCCTCACTGTATGTCTATGCCTACAAAGGAGGATCCAGCTCTGACCTTGCCTCAATGTTCTCTACCAGTCAAGCAAAAAATGGGTACATTACCCATAATGTCACTCGGGGGGTTACCAACACTTCTGTGTGTTTTGATGCTTGCTTTGCCATCAACAAAGGCCAAGGTCCTAACGACACTGCAGGAGTCACCTGCGGCTCACACAGCTGGCAAAGATCTTATCTACAGGAAAAGAAATATCTCTTCCAAAAGGTGTCCGGCACTAATGTGGGGGCCACCACTGTTTACAACTACTGATACACCCCACCTATTGACTCTGCTCAAGTAAGAGGCCCTCAAAATATTAATGTCACTGTTAAATCAAGCTCTACTTCATGTACCACTAACAAATGTAATCCTATTTGCTTGTACACTCACTTACCTGAAACAAGGGGGTACCATACCCCCACATATATATGCTCAATAGAATTATAAGGTTGCAAGCTGTATTAGAAATTATAACCAATGAAACTGCTCTTGCTTTGAAAACATTAGCTAAAGAAAGTGCATTGTCTAGAACATATATCATGCAAAATCGTTTGGCTTTAGATTATCTTCTTGCCAAAGAAGGAAGAGTGTGTGGAAAATTTAATCTTAGTAATTGTTGTATTGAAATAGATGATAGTGGAAAAGTTATTCAACAAATTACTGATAGAATGATCAAGATTGCACATGTACCTGTACATACATGGAATGGTCTTGATTTTAGAGACATGTTTGGATCCTGGTTCCCAAAATTACCTGATTTGCAAGCTATTGTAGCGCTTATTGGTATGATTGCTGCAGGATGTATTATATTGCCTTGTGTATTACCTATCTTTGTACGCACTATTTCTAACAGTTTATCCCTTTTGGCTGAGAAAAAAGCCACTGCACAGGTAATGGCTCTCTAGAATCAACAAATAACTAACCACTGCCATCCGAAGAAGAAATGGGAGAGCCAACCTGTGATGACCCAGACGAGGACAAGATGTTTGTGATGGTCGAAGAAGTCACGAACGCCATGGATAACATCAGCATACACAGCACTCTTGCCTACGTGCCTAACAAAGGCTGCTGTTGGAACTAAAACACTCCCTGTCTTTAAAAAAAAGAAAAACAGAGGAGATGTGGGAATTGCTATCTGTTTCCTCGCGCGCGTGCAAGGACAACGGGCCTTCTGGTAGTTGTTTGTAACACGAGGCGAGGGACAAGGTCGAAATGTTGCCACTTCTTACCCAGAATTGTAGCAAACTTAAACTTTACAGCTTTGTATTCTCATATGGTATTTTGTGTGATGTAATGAGTTTGTAACAACACACTAACAAAAAATTGCAAACGTTAACAAAGATTGCTTCTAATAAAAGAGGGTGTCAGAGCTTGCCCTGTGCTCTCATCCCGATTTGGCTTCAAGACGACTGCCTCAGTGTCTTCATTCATGAGAGACCACCATACAAAATCAAGGTAAACCGCACCAAACTTGATTGCAGGAAATACGAATTCAGCAACAGAGTGGTCAATGTCTGGAATACTCTACCTGACTCTGTGGTTTTTTCCCCAAACCCCAAAAACTTTAACCTTAGACTGTCTACTATTGACCTCACCCCTTTCCTAAGAGGTCTGTAGGGGGTGTGCATAAGCACACCAACGTGCCAACCATCCCTATTGTTTCTTTTATTTTTCTTATATGTATCCATTTAATGTATTCATAACTATCTTCATACTTATACCTGTTATCTTATAATCGCTTGACTAAATAAACAAACAAACAAACAAACAAAATGAAGAATCTGTCAATAGTTGTATCCAGAGGTGTTCAGCAAGTTTGGACTGGTTCTGGTGTAATGGTAGCGGAAATTTTGGCCAGTTCAGAGAACTGGCAAATAGCACCTCTGGCTGGCCCCACCCATCCACCCCTGCTCTTTCCAGTCCTTTATTCCATTGATTTTTTTAGCTCAGCTGATTCGCATGGAAGAGCAGATTGCTGCACCTCAGCTGAGCTAAAAAACAGCTTGGGTGATCTTTGAGTGCTGCACGAGAGAAGCACGTGGAGCCCACCGAACTGGTTGCATGCAATTTGGAATACCACCACTGGTTGTATCCCCTGCAACATTGAGTTACTTAAAAAATTCTTATTTACCTAAGTGAAGTCCAGCAACTACTTGACTAATGTTCATGTCTACCTCCATTTTTTCATTAAGGGTTAGTTGTAACATATTTTGTTTGGCATTCCTTGTTTTCCTGCTTAGTCTCTGCCTCAGTCCAAATGTGTGGAAACTTGTCATCCTGGATTTTTCAAGCAGGCTCGGGAAGGTGAGCCAGTTTGCTGCTATGATTGTGTTCCTTGTCCAGAGGGTACCATCTCCACTCAGGAAGGTGGGTGTTACTAGCGAAAAGGGTACTGGATACATCCAGAGCATTTTGATCAATGTGCATTTTAAAAGAGATATCTAAGGTTAACAATTTTGTGGTTCTCAATATTCAAAGTGCCCAATTTCTTCCATAATGGGAGGAATAAGAATTTTTTTTTTTGAGGGATGAGCTAGGAAGAGATAGAAGAACATGGTGTATTATGCATGGTTATTTTTGCCATAGGAAATTTTTCTTTTCTTGCCAGTTTGGAGCTGTCCTCCCATCTTCACTGTTCTTGGGAACATCTTCTTCTTTCAAATTGAGAAGTGGTTTCAGATCAATGGCATTTGCTCACCCAAACCCAGTTTATATTACAGGCCAAAAGATATATGAACCAATCAATTCATCAATCAGTCAATCTTTATTAAGGTCATGTAACCACATAAGTAGAAAGATCTAATTCAGATAACTCTGGAGGGAGAGTTCAAGGGACGAGGAAAATACACACAGAAGACTTGTCATAAAAGATGTGGAAGAAGGGACATAAATTACATTTATCATTATTAGGGGTAAAATTTGCCTGTTTTATTTTTAGTGCTGTAATTTTCCATATTATGGTTTAAGAGGTAAAACCCAAATATTGTTTATAGCCCAGTTGAACATTCCCAGATTTAGCATAACTACCATCATGGTTTCCTTGGTTGGATTGTTACTGTGACTTACCTTGCATATTGTATATAAATTAATTAATTAATTAATCAATCAGTCTTTATTTAGATCATGGAACCACATAAACAGAAAGAAGTAATTCAGCGGACCATGGAGGGAGAGGGTTTGGGTTCAAGGGACAAGAGAAACACACACACAAAACTCGCCATAAAAGACATGGAACAGTTTTGTGTGAAAGAAGGAATGTAAATTAAATTTACCATTATTAGGGGTAAAATTTGCCTTTTTATTTTTCATGCTTTAAATTTCCATATTATGGATCAAGAGATAAAACACAAATATTGTTTATAGCCCAGTTCAACATTCCCAGATTCAGCATTGCCACCATCATGGTTTCCTTGGTTGGATTGTTCCTGAATCTCTTCTTATCATTCCAATTTTCTTGCTTATTAAATAATGAAATACAAATAGTTACAACAGCAACAAAAAAGAGATATAGTTGTGGTTCTAATAGGGACTATTAACTATTGGTATTAAAAGGAAACCAATTTTACAGAAATCAGGGAGAAAAGAGAACCAACTAAACAATTGTATTTATTTCATATGATGTAACAGAATACAACATTAATACATAAAATTAGCAGAAACAGCATATAAAATGAGTATCAAAATATAAAACACCAGAATAGTAAATTATTTTTAAAATGCATAATAGGAATGATGGGTACAATTATGAATAACATTAAAGTATGTATGAGCAGTTACTAAAGTAGCTAACCCTATCACCGGATATCTGGATCATTTAACCATTGGACAGCAATGCCCTTGAAATGATGTATTTTAAGCAGGGATACAGAGAATATTTTGAGCGGGCATTCCCTTGAAACATGATATAAAGTTCATGGGATGATCCCAAAGTCACAGTTAGTATTGTCAACCTGCTCCTATTGGATTTTTTTTTCAATATTGGCACCTGCCATGGTTGGTCAATATCATCTGACATCCAAAGAAGATCTTTCTTGAAAGGTGAAAAGAGATATAAAAGAAATATTACTTTCTGTTTTCTCAGATACTGAAAAATGCACCAAGTGCCCAGATGATCAATATCCTACCCAGAACAGAGTCCAATGTATACAGAAAAGAATAACCTTCCTGTCCTATGAAGAACATTTGGGCATCATTCTGATCTCCTTTGCCCTACTCTTGTTCCTAACCACAGGATTCATTTTATTCATATTCATTAAATACCTAGAAACTCCCATCGTCAAAGCCAACAACCGCAACCTCTCCTACATCCTCCTGGTCTCCCTCTTGCTTTGCTTCTTGTCCTCCTTCTTCTTCATTGGAAAGCCAAGGACAGCCATTTGTCTTCTCCGACAAATGGTGTTCAGCATTGTATTCTCAATAGCTGTGTCATCTGTGTTGGCCAAAACGATCACAGTGGTGCTGGCATTCTTAGCCTCAAAACCAGGGAACAAAGTGAGAAAATGGTTGGGGAAGAGCTTGGCCAACTCCATCATCCTTTCTGGTTCTGCTGGACAAATTTTCATCTGTTCCATCTGGCTAGGAGTTTCTCCTCCATTCCCTGAATCTGACCTGCACTCCCAGCCTGGAGAGATCATCCTGCAATGCAATGAAGGCTCTGTCACCATGTTTTATGTTGTCCTTGGCTATATGTGTTTCCTAGCTGCCATTTGCTTTACTGTAGCTTTCCTGGCCAGGAACCTACCTGGGGCCTTCAATGAAGCCAAGCTGATTACCTTTAGCATGCTGGTCTTCTGCAGTGTTTGGGTCTCCTTCCTGCCCACCTACCTGAGCACCAAAGGAAAGTCCATGGTGATTGTTCAGGTCTTCTCCATCTTGGCTTCCAGTGCCGGACTGCTGGGTTGCATCTTCTTTCCAAAGTGCTACATTATTATCCTGAGACCAGATCTAAACACTAAGGAACATCTAATGATAAAAGTAGAGAAATGACTGCGAAATTGTTTCTTAGGGTCATCACATTTAATTTTTTCTTTGCAATTATTGGTGTTTTGTATTCTTCCTTTGAATCAACGTGACAATTAAGGTTATTTAAAACTGAAGGAAATAAACATATGAAGAGTATAACATTAATCAAATTAAATTCCAACATAATCATCAATTAGTAAAATAAATCAATTAATAATTGAAATTGTCATACACCCAGAAATGAACAAGCTCAGACTCTAAACTCTAAATCTGTTTGAACACAGTCACTTTCCCCCTCTATGACTTTTTCTTGAAAGTAAGTATGCAGGGGAGCTGGGTGTTAAGAGCATGAAGATTACCCTCACTTGCAACACTCTGGATATTTCTGGAGGTTTTGGGTGACATCACAGATCTTATGGGACCTCAGAGTTCCATGACTCTGTGTTGAGTCATAACCATCCTAACATCCTTTCTGGACATGTCCATGGCCTGCTACAAAACAGCACCCAGAAGGCTTAACACCTTCTGTGAAGACTTGATCCACATAATGAAATGGAAAACAGCCATGAATCTTATCCAAACAGCCATATGATACTCTTGTCCCCAAATGGGGAAGATTTCAGCATTCTGCTATGTGAATGGAAAAAATAATCCAAGACAGAAAATGGCAGTTGGAAGAAATATCCTTCTGGGTTCAGTTGCAAATGGGGGAAAAAAGACACTGGAAACATGGTGACTGCCTGGAAAGATGGTTTAATGGTGGACAGGATCACATCCCTTGGAGCTCTTGGCGAAGAAAAAGGGAAAAATGCTGAGGGTCCCTGGGTTTTATACCTTCTCTGGGGCATAGGAAGAGTATCCTGATTGGTTGCTGTCAGAGGTCATAGCTAGCTTTTTAGGTTGTCTGTCTGCTAAGTTTGGTTGCAGCTTAGTAGGTGGTGCAATGAAGGGCAATTAAATGGCTCTGCCTGAAGGAGATAGATGTTTGTTATGTAGAATAGACTGGCCCAGGCCTTAATGGCCCATTCACAAAGGTGGGGGGAGGGGTTGAGTTTCTGCCTCTCTGAGTTTCTACTTCTCTTTTAGGGGAAATATTCTGCCCTTTTAAGTATAGGCTAAAATAGTTCATTTTCCTAGGAGAGGGGTGGGTTTTAACTTCCAACATGGCAGCAGGGCATCCCTGAGTCTTCACTGTCTAGGTGCAGGATGTGTGTGTGTGTGTGTGTGTGTGTGTGTGTGTGTGTGTGTGTGTGTGTCTATCTATCCAGACACATATCTATCTATCTACACACACACACACACACACTAAAGCTTTTCAGTGCATTCAGGTGTTTTATGGAAGACATCTCTTCCATCTGTTTTTTTTTAATCAGTTCCAAGATCAATTCAAAATGTCTTGAGATTTGAAATTGTTGAAAGGCTGGAAAATGCCTTTCTTCTGAGGGTTCGGTTTT